CTCTTCAGGGAAGGGACTCGTAATACATTATATCAAACAAGTGCTTGATTATAGATTAGCTAAATTTAATATAATTTACAGAATTAATTTCTTGTGCCTCCATCTTATGTCTATGAATAATTCTTTTAATTTCCTAAATGACCTCAGTGTTCTGTTGAATTTTACCTTGTATTCAAAATTCCTTCTGACAATTTGAATTTTCTTACTTTTCTTTGCAGCTGATAGATGAGCCCAGACAATTTGATATTTTACTGAAATTCAATAAGGATATCTTAAATTTCTTTATGTCTGTAATCAAAATACTGAGTCATACCAGAACCCAAACTTTGTCCTGTGGTTTCTACAGATCTACATGATTACTAAACCACTAGTTACTACTGGCTGGTTATGAGCCAATAGGCAGCTGTTTGTGGACAGTCCAGCAGTGATGCAATCATCTGTCCTTTGTGTGTGTGTGTGTGTGTGTGTGTGTGTGTGTGTTCATAAAATCAGAATGTTACATCAAGATCAAGTAGATCGTTCCATTTTTCTCTCCTTATCACTCCCTCCTAGGAAGAAGTTTAGATTGCTACAGTAAAGCCTCGCGTCGCGTACACATATGCGGGAGACTCAGTTGTAAGCTGGTTGTCTGCACCGCTGATACCGCGCTGGGACTTTTCAGCGGCTTCCTGGTCAACAGCAGCAAACGGTGCTGCGCTCATTTCTTCTGCCAGTTTTCTGTGTCCCCAAGGCATGCTTGTTTGAGCACATCAAGAAGAAAGTAGTTTTAAACAACTTACTGCTTTTTTTTAACCTATTCTTCCATCTATCTTGTGACAGATACTGTACTTTACAGTTAGTTGATCAAAGGTGATTTTTTAAAGACTGAGGGAGGCACAAATGAGTTCAGCCTCTGTCCCTAGCTTGCCTTCACTGTCTCAAGGTGTGTGTAGCTCCATCTCTCTCTCTCTCTGTCATTTTTGAGCAGTTACTTGAGATTTAGCTTTCTAATTGTATTCCAGTAAAATTCCCATTTTCCTGTGTTCTATGCTATTTAATTTGCCTTTAAATTTCTGGTGCATCTTTTCAGTTGCTTACATTTCTTGCTACCTCTTCTATAATATCTATTAGCATAGTTATAACTCTCTGTTGATTTATGTGAATGAAAAGAAACACAGACCCAGATAACTCAAAACTAATTTGTTTGACTTTGGATTTTAAGATGATTTTGTACCAGGTTTGCATTCCCACTTGGGTTTTATTTGAGCTGCTATTATGATCAGTTGACACTTCTTAAGCATGTACCAGCTGGCTAATGGAATGAATAGGCAGGTCGAAGGAAGATGAGCTAGAATGGAAAACTGGCTGTAGATAATACACACATGGACCATTGAAATTGATTGTGGTTTGTTCCTGTGCCCAGAAAACTGCTCAATGACCCAGCTCTCTTGTTCTTCTTTCCATGGAACTTTATATTCTAATATAATGAGTTTGTTTTATAAAGAAACTATTAAGATATTTAAAGGAACCAAGTATAAAAATTAGTCTACCAAGAACTAAATTTATATCTGAATAATTTCTTAATTGTTCAAGTTCTATATGTTCTTGTATATTCTCCTACTGTTTGCTTTTCTTTGCAGTTTACACTTCTGTTTGCAGTTTATGCTTCTCTTTAATCATCTCATTAAAAAAGTATCTTATTTCATACACACTGATGTTTCATAATCTTTGATAATTTAGGTATTTAGCTTCTGTGATAATGTGCAATAGAAACTAGATTTATTATTTTCTTACCCAGGAAGTCATTAGCAAGAGTTTGAGAGGAAACAGCAGAGGCTACAGTAGTGGGAAAACTGCCTGACTTTTTCCCCTTAATTTTGAAGGTGGGGATACTGCTTCAAGGTTAGCATACATGATTGCTAGGAATTAAGTAAAGCCACGCAGAAGGAGCTTATGCAGGAGAATTTGGGGTGAGAAGTAGCGAATTCTTAACATTCTTAGGACAAAATAGTCATCAGTCCTCCTCCATTCCTTCTGCCTCTCCAGTGTCAGCCTATGCCCTAGTTATCTGTGAACTAATGCAGAAGCAGTGGTGCTCCTAGTTAGGCCTTTTTTTTTTTTTTTTTTTTACCTGTTAATGATAAAGATAAAATGATTTCTTCAGGATTTGCTGTACACACGTGTGTGGACAGGGCAACATTGAGTTTTGTTTGCTTTTTTCCTTTCCCTTCTTGATGGTTAGCAGTGTTACCTTGGTAGCTTAGTCAAGGTCTCTGAATCTCACTTTCTTCCTCTGCAAACTGGTGATAATAATTATGTTATCATGTTCAGATAGGATAATACTTAGTAAACTTATAGCTCTATACCAGCATTAGTTGTTAAACCAATTACATATCCCTAAGTTGGACATCTCAACCATAGGAATGGGACACTACACACCATGTTTGCTGTAGACAGCAGCTCAGCCCAGCGGGAAAGTGCCTGCCCCACCCAGGCTCTGCTCCTCCTTTTGTGATCTTTCATCTCTGGTGAAATCATTTCACCTCAGGTAGTCTTCATATATATATTAATACCTTCTTTTCTCTTTAGTTATTCTTGTAAACCAGAAGGCATCCTCATTCGTGCCAAGTAAAATTAATAACAGTGCTGGAGATAGTTTTGAGTGAAATTGAAACTAAAGAAGAATCAGTATCAAACTTCATAGTTCTTGAAAGTACCAAGAATAATGCCTTCAGGGTCTCTGCAAGAATCCTCACTGAGGATTGTTCTCTGCAGATGTACAGCTTTTCAACCATATTCTTACTCAAATAGGTTTTTGTTGTCTGGTCTAGAAAGCTAGGCAAACATTTTAACACATGTAAGGGAAAATGCATTCTTGTTTATTTGTAACTGTATATATTTTGCTCATAATTAGAGAACTACCCAAACAAGTTTTCTCCCTGATGATTTTTAACTGTTTCTTTTGTCAGTAGGTGATCACCTAGGTGGATCTAAGCATGATTATGTTTTTATTTAGAAACTACCACACTAATTTATAGGAGGGTGAGAATTGTATCTGGAATATTTGCACCCTTTCATTTTTTTACTTACATCAATAAGGGTGAAAAAGGATCTCTGTTTCAGAGCTAGATAAGATAAATTTTTCATGAACTACTGTATGAGACAGAGTCCCCAGATCATTTCAATAGGTGTATTATTATTTTAAAGAGCTGGAAGGAGGAGGATCTGTGGTCATCAGATGGACTTATCATAACTCTGTGGTACCATAAGGGTGGGCTGTGAAACATTATCTGATTGAGCGAGTCCAGGGGCTAAGAAGGTGCACACGTCAGTGACCGGCAAGTGCTTCACTTCATTGACCTAGTCAATGAAGTGGTCCCTCCCAGGATCAGAAAGTGCTAAGCTGCTGAGTTAACTGAAAAGACATTTTTTGAAGATCTCAGTATTAATAAGAGTTTATGAAACTAAGTATTATACAAAAATAAGCAGATGCATTTGTTGAAGGTTAAAAGGGTGGTAAAATACTTTGAAAGTATAGTATTAGGAATATGGAGGTAAATACCAGGAGAAACAGATTTTTAAAAAAAGAATTGAAATTATTTTTCTTTAGTGGGTAGGGAATGATGATGGAGAAGACTGCTATCTTTTATTGTAAGTCTTTTAAATATTTGTCTTTTTAAGCTATGTACATGTTTTACTTTTATAAAATAAAAATCAATATAAAATAAAATATTCTTATAAACTAACAATGTTAATATCATTTGAAAATTATGTAAATAGTATACAGTACTACCATAATAGTGTAATTAATTGTTTTAATATAGAATCTATATAATTATCCAGTTTTAAAATTTTGTGATTAGATTTATAGTTCTGTCTTTGGGTTATATTTGTTTCCAGCTTTATACCTCTTTTTCTTAACTTTATTGGTGTAGCATAAGTAATATTCAAGCCAAGGATGATCATTGTCCTATGTTGCTATCCAGAACACCTTGCACAGTATCTTACACATAGTGAACTCTGAAAATATATGGTGGATAGATAAGTTTTCTGGGTTTTTTTACCTTTTTTAAAAAATGGCACAAGTAATACATGTTCACTGTAGAAAAAATAGAAAATGCAGAGAAGCAAATAAAAAAAATCACCTCAAAACTCATTTTACCATTTTTATAATATTATTACAAATGTTTTTCTATGCAGTATGTACATATAAATACATTTAAGATTATCCTATACACACATATAACCAGCTTTATATACCAAATGTGTTATGAATGTCTTTCTGTGTCAGGTGTTCAGTTTTAATGACTGCTAATCTTTCAAGTCCATGGATATGCCGTGATTTATTTAATCAATCCTTTATTACCAAATATTTAAGTTTCATTCTTTTTCTTTAATTGCTAACAAGATATTTAATGAGGATCCTTGTACATATAATTTTGCAAACTTACTCAAATATTTTCTTAGGATAAAGCAGGATTTTTAGGTCACCTAGGCCATACTGTTCTTAAAGATCTTTATCATGTTGCCACATTGCCCTCCAGACATATTTTGTCAGCTAGAGTCCCCGTTAGTAGAGAAGAGAATATCCATTTCACTATGGAGAGTTTCCATGTGGGCAGAAACATTTATCCTTGTTGGGTTAATTGGTATTTCTTTGAATAATAGTGAGTTTGAACATTTAAAATATAGATACACATATTCAGCCAATCATGTCTTTTGGTTATTATTCAAAATTTAGTAAGAAATAAATGGAATTTTTATATTAAGGGATATATGATTTAACTGTCTCATATTGCAAATATTTTTTCTCTTTCATTTTCTTTTCAGTGTTTCTTCCCTTTATATAAAAAGTTTCTTTTTAATTTTTGTATTCAAAACTGTCAACCATTTAAAAAAATGTTTGCCACAGAGACCATGCTTTAAAAGTCCCTTCCTTTCCCAAGATGATATGCCTAGAATGACTTGATTTTCACAACTTAGTGGGGTGACTACTTCTCAAATTTCTGTTTTCTCACCAGGAAAGCAATAGAAGAACTGCTTAAGGAGGCAAAACGTGGGAAGACAAGAGCAGAAACAATGGGACCTATGGGTTGGTAAGTTCTTGAGTAATCTTCATTAAAACTTAAAAATATATTAAAGAGAAAAGTTTGGGCTGAGATAGAAATAGGTAAATCTTTAGCATATAGAGGAAATGTTAAGCCATAGATGTAAAGAAAATCACCCAGAGGCAAGTGTAGAGTAAGAAAACCACTGAGAGCCAAATGCCGGGGGACTCTAATAACATGAAGAAGTGGGCTGTGGGGTGTATATGGAGGATATCATTATGGTTTTATCATCCCTTTGGTTCACAAGTCCCCAAGAGATATACAGATACTACAGTGTCCAAAGGCACCTATGCTAGAGTAATATTATCTCAGTGTTCATCAGTTAAGAATTTCTGTTTGGGGTCTGGCGAGGTGACTCCTGCTTGTAATCCTAGCACTTTGGGAGGTCGTAGTAGGAAGACCAGGAATTCAAGGTCAGCTTGGGCAATAACAAGACCCCCATCTGTACAAAAAACATAAAAATTAGCTGGATGTGGCAGCGTGCCTGAAGTCCCAGCTACTTGGGAGGCTAAGGCAGAAGGATCTGTCGAACCCAAGAATTTGAGGTTGCCGTGAGCTATGATGACACCACTGCACTCTAGTTGGGGTGACAGCGCAAGACCCTGTCTCCAAAAAAAAAAGAATTCTGTTTTCATTATAGTCCTTAGTAAATTAATTTTAGAAAATGAAAATAACTATAAATATTTTGATTATGTGACAATTTAGCCATGTAGAACTAAAGTTTACCTTTGTGGTTTCTATACAAGATAGAGCTCGTTGGCCAGGCGTAGTGGCTCACGCCTGTAATCCTAGCACTCTGGGAGGCCAAGGTGGGTAGATCGTTTGAGCTCAGGAGTTCGAGACCAGCCTGAGCAAGAGCAAGACTCCCATCTCTACTAAAAAATAGAAAAAAGTAGCCAGGCATGGTGGCACATGCCTGTAGTCTCAGCTACTTCAAACTTCAAACTCTCAGCCACATAGAAAGGAACTATTTCAAGTGATCTGAAATTTGACTATATTTCCAAAAGACAGTCATCATATTATTAGTAATAATATTGGTATTGCTATTCCAAAAATATTATATAGTAGGATAAAACAAATAAGTAAATATTCTCTGTATATAAATACCAAGATTTTTAGTGTAAAAGAGATAGAAATATAAAATCAAAGACGTAAAACCTACTTATAGTCCTAAATTTGAATTGGAAATATTGGTATGAAGTTCTGTTAGATTTTCTCTTTTAAAAAAAAAGAAGAGAGAAAAAAGCTTTTTCTAGTTCTGTTCACGGAAAAGTCCTAGCAATAATTACCATCCACATCTAATTACACCAGGTCAGGAGGACTTAATGTCAGGTTGCTCTTACTTAAGTTTAGGTGACCACCAGATCTCTCCATTATAAAGGTACCTCTTTTTCAGCTGAGATATTTTAGGGGCGTGGGAATGAGATGAAGGTATTGCATGCTCAGATTTAATAACAGTCTGTACATTTATAGTAATTAAATTAGTATGAGGTTAGTGTAAGAGTAAACAATTAGTGAGAAAGAATAGAGAATTGAGAATAGAGACCCACATATGCATAGGAACTTGCTGTATGGTAAAAGGTCATGATTCATATTAGTGGAGAAAGGATGGATTATTCAGTAAGTGGTGATAATACAATTGACTATTCATCTATAATACTAAAAGTTAATTTCATGAAGACTAAAAAGCTGAACATACAAAGCAAACTATGAATCTTGTAGAAGAAAATGTAGGATAATATTTTATAATATTGGCCAGGATAGGGTAGAAACCTTCCTTAGCTAGGCACAAAACCTTGAAGCTATAAATGAAAAACTTGGTAGATTTGACTATGCCATAATAATAGTTATGGTTAAATAAACTGTAGTGTATCCTATTGTGGAGTATTACACATTCGCTAAGAATCGGTCAGTGCTATATGAATCCTTGTGGGAAAACATCTAGTATGTGAAAACCTGAGTTGTGGACCCATGTGCACGATCCTCCCTGGGCTGGGTTGGGGAGCGTCTGGGACCTCATACGGCATAAGGGTGCGAGGGAAGACAGTCCTCCCAACAGGGAGCTCTGAGGAGAGCACGAGGCAGGGGTGCTTTCACCTGTGCTCCTCTCCTGAGGATATGCAACAAATATATATGCTATTTGTAACTTTTTAATAGAGATTTTTAAATGAGAGAAAAATCTGGAGAGGTTTTTAAAAATGCAGATCTCCTTCCCTACTTCACCCTAGGATATTCTGGTAGAGAAGTCTAAGATGGGTCCTACATATTTTTTTTAAAGCTTCCCAGAATTGCTTATCAACCAAGTTTGGGAAGCACTGCTCTGAACCCTTGGGCAAATCAATCATGTGGAAGACTACTGCATTAAAAATAAAAATGGAATCTATCTGCTTTTCTCTCTCTCTCTCTCTCTCTCTCTCTCTCTCTCTCTCTCTCTCTCTCTCTCTCTCTCTCTCTTTCTCTCTCTCTCTCTCAAGTTTTTACATTACTTTTCGTCTGTGTTGATCTGGAAGCAGGGATCTCTGGGTACTTGGGAACTTCAGGGTCTCCTGACTTTTGCCTAGCCAGCTGTTGGTCCAGCACACCCAGACAGACACGGGCTGTGAAAGGAGGTCTGGACCCAGGACAGCATGGCTTACTTCTGCTCCTTGGTGCTGGGACAAAGAAGCATCTGCCCTATATCTTACTCATTCTCTGTTTAAATAAGTGTGTGTGTGCAGATAGAAACTTTTAACCACTAGTCATTGGTTCTCAAATTTATCTGCACATTTGGAATCACCTGGAGAGCTAAAGTGCATACATGTTTGGAAAACACTTTACTATTCCCTGCTTATTAAAAAGAATGATGCCAACCTGCTCTGCAGAATCTACAACCATCCCACACCTCAGCCAGGGACAGACAGCTCCTCTGCACCGAGGTAGCACTTAGGTAGCCTGGTAAGATGTCCCAGCTACCAGAGTCCCAAGACCCATCCCTGTGGAGTGGACCTTCTTGGACAGATCTTAAAGGAGTAGACAGTCTGTTGCTTACCAGTGAGCTATGGTATGTTTTTCTAAACATCTAGAAGACCTTTATATTTGCGTTAAAATTTAAAACAGAACTAGAGCAAGTGACATTGTTTTCTCATTATGGATATTCCATAAGAAATATCTTAGTGAGATAGTTGAGCAGGTGCCAGAAAGAGATTGCTGAACCAAAGAAAATACAAATGGTATGCCATTTTTTATTTTATAAGAAAGAGACCATTTGGTGCTATATACTTTCTTGGCTAGATTTCAGCAAAAGAATCTCTTTGGAAGCTGTTGTTGTCAGAGGCCTTGGGGAAGCTGAAATATTGGCTCATATGACTTCCTTTTAGTCAACATAAAGGAATTTATAAGCATAAATTTGAGAAATTTGACCAGCTTCATTGTCTACAAAGCTGTTTTTATTCTGGTCACATTCACTTCAGCTTATCTCTAGCCCAGTGTAACTCCTGAGTCGAGTGTCTGTTTCCACAGCCTCGTACTGAGGAAAGCTTATATTTTGGCACAAAATGTTCCAAAGGTTGAATTGGGTGATATAATTCTTCAGTTCTCTTAGCCCAGTTGTTTTAAGGGGAATGACATTTTTGGATGCTGTTCTGTTTGGGTTTGGAGTCAGTCTGGAGACGAGGAGGAAAATCACCTACATTGTTTTTTGTGTCATCAATTTTTTATATTGGAAAACAAATAATTTCTCCAATCTTTATCCAGACATGTGTTTGTTTATTTATTTAAATATCTATCTAGAACTGTGCAACCTTTTGAAATAAGAAAAAAATAAATAAATAAATAAATATCTACTGAGCACCAGGAGATATGCTTAGAGGCCAGTCTTGAGCAGCAGTAGAGACGAGACACTTTCCTGGCCTTAAAGTTTTGAATCCACTGGTGAGTACAGACACATGAGCAGGTGACCATGTGCAGTGCGCCATGCTTACTGTGTCAGAACCCACAGGGGTGGCGGGAAGGGCTGGCATCTCAGATGATTCAGGGATGACACTCTTGGCAGTGTTTGAGGGCCACGGAGATCCAAAGCCTTTCTACATAAAGAACGTGAAGCCCGCCGGGCGTGGTGGCTCATGCCTGTAATCCTAGCACTCTGGGAGGCCAAGGCAGGCAGATCGCTTGAGGTCAGGAGTTCGAAACCAGCCTGAGCAAGAGTGAGACCCCGTCTCTACTATAAATAGAAAGAAATTAATTGACCAACTAAAAATATATATACAAAAAATTAGCCGGGCATGGTGGTGCATGCCCGTAGTCCCAGGTATTCATGAGGCTGAAGCAGGAGGATCGCTTGAGCTCAGGAGATTGAGGTTGCTGTGAGCTAGGCTGATGCCATGGCACTCACTCTAACCTGGGCAACAAAATGAGACTCTGTCTCAAAAGAAAATAAAAGAATATGAGGCCCAAAGAGGTTTCCGAAGGCCCCCAGCTAGCTAATTGCTAATGGGACTGTAACTTTGCTTTCCTGTCTATAGCTTAACACTCCTTGTGCTACAAATACATCACCTCTCTTAAGTGGATTATTGTCTGACAACTTGCTGAAATGCCAGTGCTCACTCTGCTTCCTGCATTCCTTTCATATCCAGTTATGAAAGTTCAGAGGGCCCTGAATGTGTTACTGTTAGATCACATATCTATGTAAATGATGTGTGTTGCTGAGGGAGGAGGCCAGGGATTAGAGCCTTGTGGTCTGTCCCAGGATACTGCTATTTACATAGCTGCCTCTGGACTTCCACTTCCCCTACCTTCTGCTCCTCTCAGTAGCCTAAAGAGCAGAGATACATGGCCAGCCTACTCTGTATTTTTGCTACAAGGCCTAGCATAATGCTTGCATATGAAAGATTCTCAGATCTTTAAAATACACACACACACACACACTTGCTAACTATTTTTCTTTACTTTTAGGTACAATGTTGGAGACAGTCATTGAACACCCACTGTGAATCTTAGGACTATTGTATGCA